TCTCCTTCTTCCTCTCACCGGCCTCTGCAGCAGCAGTCTTCTTGGGTCCCATGGCAGCGCAGCTCCTACCTTCGTAAACTCAGAAAAAGAAGGGGGGGGAATCAGCAATTCAAACCCAGAACCAAGTCCTTGAATTCCAAACACCCAACCCAAAATCCAAAAACCCCAAAAAAGTTTTAGAAGCTTAACTTACGAAATGGCTGCAAATCAGCAAAGTCTTCAAAATCCTCAAATGGCTGCAAAAGAAGTTTTGGAAAAGCTTTAAAAATCACCAGTCTTCAAAAACCTCAACTGTTCCCCCAGCCACCCAACCTCCACACAGAAATTGCAAACCCCTCCCCAACTGTTGCAAACCCCTCCCTCCCCAACTGTTCCCCCAGCCCCTCCCCAACTGTTGCAAACCCCTCCCCAACTGTTGCAAACCCCTCCCCAACTGTTCCCCCAGCCACCCAGCACACGGAAATTCAAAACCAATTTTTTTTTAAAAAAGCACACAACATGGCCCAATGGTCACAGAAAATCATAAAAATGCAGAAAAAACCACACAAGCTTCCAGATTCTTCCAAACCCCTCCCCAGCTGTTCCCCTAGCCACCCAGCACACAGAAATTCAAAACCATTTTTTTAAAAAAAAACAACAACATGGCCCAATGGTCACAAAAAATCATAAAAATTCAAAAAAAAACCAACAACCCACACAAGCTTCCAGATTCTTGCAAACCCCTCCTCAACTGTTCCCCCAGCCAGCCACCACACAGAAATTCAAATCCAGATATTTTTTTAAAAAACAACAACAACAACATGGCCCAATGGTCACAGAAAATCATAAAAATTAAAAAAAAAACCACACACAAGCTTCCAGATTCTTGCAAACCCCTCCTCAACTGTTTCCCCAGCCACCCAGCACACAGAAATTCAAATCCAGAAATATTTTTTTTAAAAAAAACAACATCGCCCAATGGTCACAGAAAATCATAAAAATTAAAAAAACAAAAACAAAAAAACCACACAAGCTCCCAGATTCTTGCAAACCCCTCCTCAACTGTTCCCCCAGCCACCCAGCACACAGAAATTCAAAACCAAATTTAAAAAAACAACAACAACATGGCCCAATGGTCACAGAAAATCATAAAAATGCAGAAAAAACCACACAAGCTTCCAGATTCTTGCAAACCCCTCCTCAACTGTTCCCCCAGCCACCCAGCACACAGAAATTCAAAACCAATTTAAAAAAAACAACAACAACAGCATGGCCCAATGGTCACAAAAATTAAAAAAATAAAAAAAATCACACAAGCTCCCAGATTCTTGCAAACCCCCCCTCAACTGTTCCCCCAGCCAGCCACCACACAGAAATTCAAAACCAAATTAAAAACAAAACAAAACAGCAGAGTGGCCCAATGGTCGCAAAAAATCATAAAAATGCAGAAAAAAACCACACAAGCTCCCAGATTCTTGCAAACCTCTCCCCAACATCAAGTCCTTGAATTCCAAACACCCCAACCCAAAATCCAAAAACCCCCCAAAAAGTTTCAAAAGTTTAACTTACCAAATGGCTGCAAAAGAAGTTTTGGAAAAGCTTCAAAAATTCAGCAGTCTTCTAAAACCTCAAAAAGGCTACCACACCGCGTGCTATGTGTTGCTCCTCGAAGTCAAGTTGCAGCTGCACCTCTTCAAGCAATGCACCCTGGGTTTTAATGGTTTTAAGACAAAGGAAACAAACTTGCAAGACGTTTTCGTCTTGCGAAGCAAGCCCATGGGGATATTCGTCTTGCGAAGCAGCTCGAAAAACGGAAAACCCTTTCGTCTAGCGAGTTTTCCGTCTTGCGAGGCATTCGTCTTGCGGGGCACCACTGTAGTTTGTTAGGGGTGCTGAGAGTTATTAAGAGGTTCCTGTTCCACTCACAGAGCTGCAATTTACAGAGGTTTAACAATCCCACTTCATAAGGAACTGTGGTAACAGCTGTGAGTGAAATACTTCCTTGCCCTTTTAAATCTTTGCATTTTCAAACATTTTCAAAGATGAGCTGGCTTTGAAAATAAGACTAGCACCCTTACTGAAAGGAAATTGAACTGATAAGACTTCTTAGTAAATATTTATGATGCTGCAGTAATTAAGGTACACTTCACATGTGCAGGATGTTTTGATGGAAAACTTGTTTTGGGTTGTATATAAGAGTTGTGGGGTGATAACATGTATGGGAAAGGTCTGTAATCAACAGGGAAACTGTTCTCATGGGAAACAGCCATTGTTGTCACTTGTGCTGGTATTCTGATGTCGGAAATTAATCCAAGATGTCAAAATGGCACAACAAGTGGGCCAGTGCTATGCAGCAGCAGTGTGAGAAAGCAATGATAATTAATCAGGTGGTGATTTATCTTTATCAAATAATGGGTTTTTGTGGTTCAAAGTGTTTGTAATGGGGGCAGTCCTGAGTGTGGCCTGCCTATGTATTATCCTAATGCAACCTTAATCGCTAAACAGATCAAGTTAAAGGAGACTTTTCTATGTAAATGATCTGCTCATTTTGCGGATATGAATATTTATGCTCTGTCTACCAAACATAGGCATTTCATTTTCACCTGATGAAAATAAACTGCTCTGATATGCTCAGCAGCTACTGGACCTTGCAATTTTTGCTTGCTACTTCATATTTGTGAGGCTGGGGCTATTCTGGCGCATAGGGAAGTAGAAAAGAGCATCAAAGGAGAGAAATACAAGATGACCAATTTGTCTACTGCATTCATACCTTAATTCCTCACACACACCCGCTCACACATCCAGTTTAACCTAAGATGAAAAAGGAAGGGAGTATCTCCTTTCTTCAAAATAACAGTTGATTGCCAAGACTGCTGCCAAGTGATTTTTCAGCCTAACTACTGCTTGGAGCAGGTGCTTGGATTCTCCCTTCCTCCCCAACTTCCATTCTGTGACCCCAAGAAGCAATTTTGCTGAGAGATAAAAGTTTTCTCAGAGGCCACACTAAGTTCAGTTTGGGAGGAGCGGAGAGCTCTAGTACTGTACTTTGTCTGGGAGGAAGTGTGGAGGGGTAGAGTCTTTTGTATACTTTATGTTTGAATTTCTTCACTAATGCTTTATTCTGGATTGTTTTATTTCATATTTTAATGTGTGGTAAACCGCTTTGAGATTTCTTCTTAAAAATATAAAGTGGTATAGAAAGGACTTGAATACAGTGGTACCTCGGGTTAAGTACTTAATTCGTTCTGGAGGTCCGTACTTAACCTGAAACTGTTCTTAACCTGAAGCACCACTTTAGCTAATGGGGCCTTCTGCTGCCGCCGCGCCACCAGAGCCCGATTTCTGTTCTCATCCTGAAGCAAAGTTCTTAACCTGAAGCACTATTTCTGGGTTAGCAGAGTCTGTAACCTGAAGCGTATGTAACCTGAAGCGTATGTAACCCGAGGTACCACTGTAATAATTGTAGTTCTGTAAGGGGAACAGGGGCTTCTTAACAACTCTCAGTACCTTTAACAAACTACATCTCCCATAATTCTTTGTTGGAAGTCATGTTTGTTTAAAGTGGTAGCATAACGCTTTTAATATGGCCTTCCTCTGCCTTCTGGCTGTGATAGTGTGTGTGTGTGTGTGTGTGTGTGTGTGTGTGCTGCTTGTTCTCACAAATGGTAGAATGAAGTGACCCATAACTGTTGAGACCTGCAATTAGTTCACCTGGTGATTGGTCAGTTTCTCCTCTAACTGTTCCAGGTTCCCATAGTTGCAAAGCAACTCCCCATAGTGACACTTTTGCCAAATAAATATATAACTACATACATACGCGCGCGTGCACACACACACACACACACACACACACACGCCACATCACGGCAGCTTTGTCCAGGTCTCCCCCCACCACACTTTTTCAAAGAACAACCTTTAATCTCCAAAGAACCTTGTTGTTGTTGTTTTTAATGTAACTAATCTAATTTAAAAGCCGTGTCAAGATATTTCTAATAACGAATGCAAAGTTGCATTTGTATACTATTTTTGATTTAAATGTTCTACTTTTCATTTTAAAATTATTTTTACTCCATTTATTTATTGCACACATTTTTCTCCAAGGAGCTCAAGGTGGCATACGTGGTTCACACCTCATTTAATCCCCACAGCAGCCCTGAGGAAGGTCAGGCAGAGAGGCAGTGACTGGCCCAAGGTCAGCAGGAGAGCTTCATGGCCAAGTGAGGATTCAAATCCTGGTCTCTCCCAGGCCCAGCACTCCAACCACTTAATTGAGCTTTTCCTGAACAACTGTGAATGTTGTTTCCTTTCTTGAGCACTAGAGCTTGAATAGCTGTTTATGTGTTTGGATTATGATTTGCCCAGAACAGAGGCATTAATTCTCCAGATTATTGAGGGGCGCCGATGCGATGTTGCGCAACATCCTGACGTCGCATGTATGACATCGCAAGGAACCAGGGGGTGGAGCTGAACACCCTCTGAACATTGAGGTGGCCTGGCTCCCTCAAAAAATACATTGGGGGGGGGACTGCCTCATTTACACCCTTTAGGAGTTGGCACATATGGCCCTGAAAGTTCATGGAAGATTTGACAATGCATAAACTGGCACAGTCTCCTAAGTGCAGAGTTGCCCTGGGACTTCACGACTGCTGGCCCATCTTATCAGCCAGAGGGTTTTACAGTTTGATATGTGTGTGTGTGCTTTCTTGAACTCGGTTGTTTAGCAACCCCTTGCGCTGGTGTGGTGTTGCTGCGCCCTACCCTGCTGTTGGCTATTGTTTTATAAACACGGTTAGCGTCCCCTGTTGCCGCGACAACCAGCCTCACCATTCCCCAGAGAGGAGAAGGAGAGAGTGTATGTGTACATTTGGTTCCTCGGGATTTCTTTTCCTTCATTTCAAGGCCTTGACGTAACCCAGAGGGGCGTCTCTATACTCAGCTTGACTCTGAATCCATTCTCTCCCCTCCAACGTGGTGCAGCCCAAAAAGAGCTGGGAGCCACAACAAGATCCCTCTCGTTCCAGAGCAGCGGTGGGCATCTCAAGTGTGGCACCACTGGGCAGCCATGGCAGCAGCCATCCCTGAGCAGAAGACCGCCCAGAAGGTGCGCTTGCCCCGGCGCCGCAGCGTCAGCCAGATCTGTCCCCCGCCACGGAGGCCAATGACTTTGGCAGAGTTGTACCCAGGCTGTGAGAACGAGCGGCTAGGAGTGGCCCGCGAGAGCATGCTCCAGAACCATCTCATCGCTAAGGTGAGGAGGCTATGGCGCGGGACTGGAGGGAGGGAGGTCCCCAGGCCGCTTTTGGGGACCTCTTAGGATCTGTGTATGTGGCATTTTCACAAGTTGATGTGACTGTCAGCAAAATGACCTCTGACAGCCTTCACACCCCCACCCCAGCTGCTTTGGGACATAGAGAGTCAGAGCACTGGTCCATCAGGCTCAGTGCTGTCTACACTGACTGGCAGAAGCTCTCAAGGGTTTTATGGAGTAACTTTCCCCAGCTCTACCTGGAGGCACCAGGGACTGCCACTGAGCTGTAGCACTAAAAACAAAGCAAGTTTCCAGTCCTCATTGTGTTTTAAAGGCTGATTAAAATAGAAACACAGGGAGCTGCCATAAAACTAAGTCAGGCCTACTGGCTCATCTGGTTCAGTATTGTCCACACTGACTAGCAGCAGCTCTTCAGGGTTTTGGACAGGGGCCTTACCAAACCCTAGCAAGTTGAATTTGGGACTTCCTGACTGCAAAGCAGATGTTCTACCACTGAGCTACAGCTCTTTCTCCTCCATTGGGCCTGGCTGTAGCAGTAGCCATTTTCTATTGGGTGTGAGAAGTATATCTGGCAACCATGGCAACCTGTTTTCATATTAAGTTATGCCAATCTTTAATCTACAGTAATAAACCATAGAAAAAGTTAAGATCGACACACACCTATTCACAGCTTCTCACTGAGGGAATTTTACTTTCCTACAGTGATACGGAGTGGCGGAAGTTCAAAATGGCTGCTTTCACACCCAGCTTCATGGTGCAGGGGCTCACATGGAAGCCACATGGTGGTGGTCTTGGGAGGGTGCGAGGTCTCCAGCAGCTGCCTGGGGCAGGCAGATAGGTTGATAAGGACTGCCCCTTAAATTGTGGATGCCAAGCATATTTACATACATGCTGTCCAGTATCATTTGTTTAGATGTGACCTTTTCATTAGGTGTGTGTGTGTGTGTGTGTGTGTGTGTTTTCCTGTATTTTCTTCTCACTGCACTGGATTGGAATAATAATTTTAAGGTGCTTCAAGGCTGCCTTACAGGGAACATACATTTTGCCACCGATTTTCTTCTATATGTTAGAAAAGGAACACCAATAAATGCTTTTATTTGTTTGTTTGTTTATATTAAATAAATGTCTATACTTCCCATCATCCAAGGATCACAGGGAGTTTAAAATACAAAACACAAAAATACATAACATAGTAACAAACACAAACAATACCCTGCCCCATATACAGTTTCATTAGCCAAAGGCCTGGATGAAGATGAATAATAATAATAATAATAATAATAATAATAATAATAATATTTTATTTTTTATACCCCGCCCATCTGGCTGGGTTTCCCCAGCCACTCTGGGCGGCTTCCACAGAAACCAAAAATACACTAAAATATCACACAATAAAAACTTCCCTGAACAGGGCTGCCTTAAGATGTCTTCTGAATGTCAGGTAGTTGTTTATCGCTTTGACATCTGATGGGAGGGCGTTCCGCAGGGCGGGCGCCACTACCGAGAAGGCCCTCTCCTAGTTCCCTGTAGCTTTGCTTCTCGCAATGAGGGAACCGCCAGAAGGCCCTCGGTGGTGGACCTCAGCATCCGGGCAGAACGATGGGGGTGGAGACGCTCCTTCAGGTATACTGGGCAGAGGCCATTTAGGGCTTTAAAGGTCAACACCAGCACTTTGAATTGTGCTCGGAAACGTACTGAGAGCCAATGTACCGGTAGGTCTTTCAAGACTGGTGTTATGTGGTCTCGGCGGCCGCCCCTAGTCACCAGTCTAGCTGCCGCATTCTGGATTAGTTGTAGTTTCCGGGTCACCTTCAAAGGTAGCCCACATAGAGTGCATTGCAGTAGTCCAAGCGGGAGATAACTAGAGCATGCACCACTGTGTTGAGCCAGTCCGCGGGCAGGTAGGGTCTCAGTCTGAGTACCAGGTGGAGTTGGTAGACAGCTGCCCTGGATACAGAATTGACCTGTGCCTCCATGGACAGCTGTGAGTCCAAAATGACTCCCAGGCTATGCACCTGGTCCTTCAGGGGCACAGTTACCCCATTCAGGACCAGGGAGTCCTCCACACCTGCCCGCCCCCTGTCCCCCAAAAACAATACTTCTGTCTTGTCAGGATTCAACCTCAATCCATTAGCCGCCATCCATCCTCCAACCGCCTCCAGGCACTCATACAGGACCTTCACTGCCTTCACTGGTTCTGATTGGAAAGAGAGGTAGAGCTGGGTATTATCTGCATATTGATGGACACCCAGTCCAAACCCTCTGATGATCTCTCCCAGCGGCTTCATATAGATGTTGAAAAGCATGGGGGAGAGGACGGAACCCTGAGGCACCCCACAAGTGAGAGCCCAGGGGTCTGAACACTCAACCCTCACCACTTTCTGAACACGGCCCAGGAGGAAGGAGTGAAACTACTGTATAACAGTGCTCCCAGCTCCCAGCCCCTCTAGACGGTCCAGAAGGATGTTATGGTTGATTGTATCAAAGGCCGCTGAGAGATCCAGAATGCTTTTGCCTGGTGCCCAGAGATATGTAATGAAGGCACTGGGCAAGCCTCCCTGGGGAGACCATCCCACAAACAGGAAGCCACCACAGAAAAGTCTCCCTCTCCTGTTGCCATCCTTCAGAGATGAGTGCAGAGTCTGGGATGGTTGTTGGCAAATGGCAGACATCAGGATTTTCTCGCTAACAAGATAAACTGGTCAGCATGGAAGGGAATGCAGCTTGACTACTTTTAGTAAGCAGCAAAGTTCCAGTGGCCTTGAATATTGATGATAACACAGAATTGGAAGTGCTGGTGCCTGCAGGTGCCAGATTAAACACTAGAGGGAAGCACGTGATCAATAGTTTAAGGATGAGCTGAGATTCTGTTTCCTTTGCACAGTTGTTTATTGTATTCATATCCCACTTTTTGCTCCTGGTTCTTCTACCTATCCTCATTTAACCCTCACAAAAACCCTGTGTAGCTGGCTAGGCTGAGAGGCAGTGCCTGGCCCAAGGCCACCCCCTGAGCTTTCATGGCCAACTGGGGATTTGAACTCTGGTCTCCCAGGTATGGAGTATGGCACTGTAACTGTCAGTTTGCATTTCTTAGTGCAGAAAGTATTGATATGATGTGTAAAGATCTTTCCTATTCTAATTAACTCAAGAGGGTTATGGAACACCCCCCTCACACCCACCCCCCTCACACACAAAAACAAAGATCACCACAGCCAATCACAAACAAACAACCTCTCTCACCACCAAAGGAACACAAGTGAACAGCAGAGAACCTGCACGAGCAACGCTGACACCAAACCCTTACATACATTAAGTAAAATAGAAACATCCCCACCCCACCCTCACCCATCTTTCCCCCCTCCACCTCTTTCCCCCTTTTCTTCCTAATGTCTCAACAAATGAAACTGATTTGTAAAAATTTGTTACATGGTAAAAATACGAGAGAGAGACATTATACATACTTTTGTAAATCAAGATTTTTTTAATAAAAATACATTATTAAAAAAAATAGGGTTATGAAAGCTTCTCTGTGTGAAAGAAAAAGCAGAAGGTTCATGATGTTTGTGTTGAGTACAGCTGGATTAACTGGCTCTGCTGTCCCTTTCAGTCAAGGCCATGCTGAATATAAAAATAAGGCCAGAAGGAGCGTGGGTTTAACTTTATCTTTCTATCTCTTTTGCTTTGGTGTTCTGCACAGTAAACACTCGGGTTGCGAACATGATCCGTGCGGGAGGCATGTTTGCAACCTGCAGCGTTCGCAACCCGCAGCGCCATGTCAGCGCACGCACGGGTAACAATTTGGCACTTCTGCACATGCGCAAAGTGTGATTTAGTGCTTCTGCGCATGTACAAGTGCCGAAACCCAGAAGTAACCGGTTCCGGTACTTCCGGGTTTCAGCGCATCCGTAACCCGAAAATGTGCAACCTGAAGCGTCTGTAACCTGAGATATGACTGTATATAGTGTTAAGGTTTAGTCTTATTATAAATTGTTGTAAGTTTAAATTAAGTCTGCTGCAACTGGATTTCTTATGGCCAGTGCCAATCCTGAATGGATTTGTGACCATTATGCTCATTTGCCTTCAGTAGCAGAAAAGCTCTGCTGGATGAAATTCAATTGCCTCTGGTCTATTTTTTGGGAATCCTGCAACATTTTTAAGTTTTTAATCTGCTAACTATACGTTGGAATCAGCTCTGGATCAATATTGAGTAGAATGTCATGACAGTAACCACTACACTATGCTGGTTCCAACAGAGTATGGAGCAGAAATCTCTAGGCCTAGTGATAGCAATATATATTATAGCAATATATATTACTATAACACCTCTACAAAGAAATCTGGTTGCCTGTTTGATAGTGGGCCAAGTTTAAGGCATTGCCCTTAACAACTTGGGACCAGTTTACTTTTGGGATTGCTTTAACCCATACATGCCCACTCAACTGCATTGATCTGCAGAACTGGCATAAGAACGTAAGGTGATCCTGCTGGATCAGGCCAATGGCCCAACTTGTTCAGCATCTTGTTCTTACAGTGGCCAGCAAGATGGCCCTATGGGAAGCCCATAAGCAAGACCTGAGTGCAACAGCATTCTCCCTTCCTGTGGTTTCCAACAACTGGTATTTGGAATCATTGCTGCCTCCACCTTTGGAGACAGATCATACCCATTGTGGCTAGTAGCCACTGATAGCCTTCTCCTGCTCCATGAATTTGTCTAATCCTCTTTTAAAGTTGTCTATGTTGGTGGTTAGGGACGTGGGTGGCGCTGCGGTCTAAACCACAGAGACTAGGGCTTGCCGGTCAGAAGGTCAGAGGTTTGAATCCCTGCAACGGGGTGAGCTCCCGTTGCTCGGTCCCAGCTCCTGCCCACCTAGCAGTTCAAAAGCACGTCAAAGTGCAAGTAGATAAATAGGTACCACTCCGGCAGGAAGGTAAATGATGTTTCCGTGCGCTGCTCTGGTTCCCCAGAAGCAGCTTAGTCA